GAGCGTTTCCCACGCGCGCTCCGACTGCCCCCAGCGCCGCCGCCTCCCAAAGGACAGGCTCCCTCCTCCCCGCCCTCTGCAACGACCGCCCCGGCGCTTGGCTCCGGATCAGGAGGAGCTGGCCTCTGGGGTCGCCTCGGGCCACGCGGGTCCTGACACCTCTCGGGGTCTGCTCCCCGCCAAGCCTCCCCGGTGTCCTTTGTGTGCGCGCCGCAAACCCCTCCGCGTAGCCTGTTCCGAGGCGCCGCCTTGCGCGCAAAAGCGAAGGAAAGGAGGAGCGCGGGACAATCAGGGGACTGCAGGGGGGCAAAAGGCGACAGCACTCACTCTGGGAAGGTTCCGGCATGTTGCTGCCTTAGGGCTTCCCCGTGGTCTCGCCCCTACCCGAGCTTCCCCGCCCCTCCAGGGCCGGGGCAAAAGGGGACGGGGGGAGGAGCGCAGCTGCAGGGACCGCGTTGGAAATGGTGCTTCCGGAGCTGCAGGGAAGGGGCTCAAAAACTGTTTTGGTTTCGCTAAGAAGATTTAGGGAAACCAGGATGCTAGAGAAGGGCCAGAGGAAGGCCCGTGAACGCGGACATATGAAAATAATCTTACTCCCAGAGAATATCAGGACTGCCGGGGTGGGGGTGGGGGGGTCGGCACGTACATACTTGTATTTGAACTTTGTGACCAAGTTGGATCGTATCCGACTCTTGGGTTTTTGGACTGTACTCGCCTAAAAGTCGAGGTCTCTACACCGTAACAGGATCAAGGACCTACTTCAAAAGCAAAGGGCCTGGGAGCCGAGGCTGTTTAATGGTTAACGAAAGGGAAAAACCAATAGGGTAGGGAGACCAGCCCCAAGTCACGCTCCCAGCCCAGGCCGGGTCTTCCGTGGGTCCTCTTCTTACCTGGTGGCTTTCCTAACAAAGTAAGAAGAGGTAAAGTCCCAGTGATCGTCCAGCCACGCTTCTACGGAGTCCCGGTCCCATTGCTGCTGCGGGCGCGCGGAGCCGGGGCCGGCCGGCTCCATGATCAGCGCGGCGCGTCTCTGCGGCTCGCTGGTGCTGGTTTTCCACCCCAGCTGGGGTCCCTCCCTTGGAGGAGCGGCACTCTGCCTGGAGACCCTCCCCCTTCGCCTTAGCTGCAGTCCGGCCGGCTTTCGGCGAAGCTGCTCCGGCACAGGGCCAGCCTCCTGCCGCGCCCCGCCTCTCCCGGTCTTCACCGATCCCAGGTGTGGCGGGCGGGGCAGGGTGCAGCAGCTCCGCGCCTTCGCTGGGATCTGGCTCTCGCAGTCTCCAGATTCCGAGGCGGCCACGGCGGCTACTGGCGAGCTCTCCGGAAGCCAAGTGGCCAGGGCTAGAAGGTGGCCACGCGGCCGCTGGGGTGCGCTGTGTGCCAAGCCGGCTCCAGACGAGCGCGCAAAGGTGACTGTGGGTGTGTTCGCTGAGCGTCCCGCTCTAGGAAAGGGAAGGTCGCGCAGTGGAGACCCATCCCAAGCCCAGAAAGCGGTAGCTAGGGAAAGTTTCGCCCGAAAGCGAGAGATGGTGCTAGCCTGGGCGCTTTTCCTCGAGCTTAGGAGAACAATGACCGTCCCGCCTAGCTTTCCGCCAGCCCAGCGCGTCGGTCTGGGAGGAGCCGGGACCGATCTTTCCCGGAGCCCAGCCATCGCGGTGGCTCAAAGCGCCCCAGCCAACGACCGCGCCCGGGTAAGGAGAGTTGGGGCGTGTGTCACCAAAACAAATTAGCGGGTCCTGGTGGTTAGCTTCCAACAAAGCCATTCTCGTGCTTAATGTTAATAATAATAACAATAATTATAAATTAAGTGCCTTTGCATCAAAGGCATAATTTGCATAAACTCCTTTTCATGAGTGGAAAAAGATTTTCTGGAAGAAGGAAAAGATAAATTGAAACAGTAATCATGGATGGTTTGTGTATGAAGTCAGAAAACAAGGGTATCTCCATACAATTAGGTTAACTTGAGAGTAGGGTACAGTGCAGAGCAGCCAGTTAGCCCAATTTTAAATTAATTCGTCATTTATGTTGAACCGAAATTAATACACACACAACCACGAAAAAAGTGTCCGTTTAAAACGGCTCAGCCTTCCTACCCTTTGTCCTATCCCTATCATACTTTACAAAAAAGAATTAGTGTCTTCCTTTGCTTTCTCCTCACCCTTATTTCTCTGTACGGCATTTGTAGTTTTAATATGGTATTTTGCAATGACCTAATTTTTGGGGCAGAATTAAATCTGGAGCTGTGTGTTTCACAACGTGTGAAGGACACCATTTGCAGTGATACACCAAAAGTGATTTAGCTGACATACTTTTAACAAACTCCTTTCAAAATATTCTTGGCAAGAATGTAAGACATTACTCACTACATAGAAACACATAATTCAATAGATCATATGAGAACTTAAAAAAAGTCTTCCAACCCCCCAATGCAATGGTTTACACTTCCTGCATTGAATAATTGTCTTTTTGTAACTTAAGTTTCTCTGAAACTTTACTGTTGTACATAAGTAGCCACAAATCAATAAAAAAAAAAACAAGCGAAGGAGCAGAGTATGAAGTAATGCATGATAAATTATATGAGATTTTAAAATAAGAGTTCTCTTCTAGTATGTTCTATCATAGTGATTACAGCGCTCATGAATGAGATACTCATTCTCCTCAGTGCTCAGTTTTTCCCTGTGGAAATCCATGCATTTCTCCCTTCAGGAAGGCAATTATAATTTAAAACTACTTTCCTACTAAAGATGGAGTGAATTTTTGGCTTGGATTATTTGCTTTGATTGGCTACCTTGATTATAACAGGCACTATTCAAATGTTCATTTTCTCTCCTAACCTGAAAGGATTAAATTATCAGAAACTAGGAAGGCTTTGGAAAAATTTGTGTAAGAAAAGCAATCCATGGTCTCCCATCAGTGAGTTTCAATTCTGTGTAGTGTAGATGGGGTTGAGGGTTACTGTGAAGGCTTGTTACCTGAGGCAAGCAGACCACAGGGGATGGGGGATGAGGCATTTCAAACTTTTCTAGTCTCCAGGAAACTCAGATAAAACAATACCTCTTGTAACTTTGAAGTACTTAAAAGTGAAGCATATTTTGAACTGACCTTACCATGACCTCTTGTTCCTCAGCTCCATTTTATTCTTTAACGCAATCTGCTCCATTATTTTTTGTATGTTTTGACTTACTGGTATGGATTGCTCTAAGCATCTAAGCTCTAAACATCTAAGCATGCTGTTTTAGAGTAAGTTGAAGAGTGAGTAAATAATAAACATTACTGGGAAATAACTTGGAAAATGATGTTAATGCTACTTCAAACAAACAATTTAACAAAAAGCCCTCCAACATATTTCCATTGTAGTAGAATAAAACCCAAACTCTCTAACATGGCTTACAAGGTTCTGCATGATTTTTACCTACCTCTACTGCTAAAGGTTTTGATCATATAACTAGAAAAACAAACAAAACCATGGATGATCAAATTTCTTTTCTAAAAAAGAGAAACACAAACTATAAAAGCCAAGATATCTCCAATACTTTGTCTTGTTCTTTTAAAAAAAAAAAATACCACATAGTATATTCTATTCCTTTGCAGCAAACCTGTATATCCCAGGCTTGAGAAAATTGAGTAAATGTCTTTGCACATATAATAGAATCTAGGTTTCTCATTGTCGAAAGGGAAGGCTAGAAGGTACATTGTGGTGTTGAAATGGAATTGGAGGTTAAAAATTAAGTGTGTGTGTGTGTGTGTGCGTGCACGTGTGCATGCATCATGTGAGGAAATCCCACATGACAAGGAAATGCAGGCAGTTTCTAAGAGCTGTGGCAGCCTCCAGCTGACAGCTTACAAAGAGTTCCATCCAGCAAGAAAATGAATTCCTCAGTCTGGAATGGAATTTTGCCTACAACTGGAGTGAGCACAGAGGCAGGTATTTCCCCAGTCAAGCCTCAGATGAGACCACAATTCCAGCCAAGAAGTTAACTGCAGCCCTGTGAGATGCTAAGCAGAAGACATCTTCATAACCGACATCTTAATAATGTTGAGTCCTAGAATCTATTAACATAGTATTAACATAGTAACATCCATTTATTCTGATCTTGTAAAATTTCTCCCAGCAATGTCATAGTTTTTAGTGCATGTCTTGCATGTATTTTGTTAAATTTATCTCAGTATATATTTCAGCTCGGTCACTGAGAGATACTAGAAGCAATGACATTGATTTGGCAATGAGTAAACTTACACGATGATTTTGGTTTCTAAATACCACTCTTTACTTTAAAAGAAAGCAGGAGTCTTTGGAGAAAAATTCTAGCTCTGTGATAGGTAATGTACAAAATGTGCCTGGAAAATCTTGTTAGAAAACAAGAAGGGCTTAAAAATGATGCCAACATATCAGAAGAACAGAGGACATATCTGAAAGGGGCTTCCAATGGACAAATCTGCAGCCGTTGGAATATCAAAATATATATTGACAGTAACAAATTATAAACCATTGGCTAAAATAAGAAACCCTGATTCCATACTGAAATAAATAAATAAATAGATAAGCAAATAAATAGAAGAGAATGGAATGTTCCTTACAGTAGAATACCAACTAATAAATATAATAGGAATCATGTAATTAGAAAATCATTAATGGTTGCTAAAGCTAATTAGTGAGAGTTTGATGATGGGTGGAGTATTTATATAGCTTAAAGTATCTCCTCACAGGTTTCTTATTAGTTACTATAAGAAAATAGTATCTTTAAAAAAGAGACCTTGTGGATATCTCTAACCAAGTGATCAACTTAGTGTCACTTATATTGGGACAAACCAACAGTATATACCTTTTAATAGAATATACTGGGAAGGATATGACATTACTCTTGTGTCATTAACTGCCAAAAATATGAATCTAATCATGAGGATTAGATTGAGGGATTTCCACCAAAAACACCCAGACTGAGGGACATTCTTCAACATAACTGGCCTCTATGCTTCAAAGATTGCAAAGGTTAGGGAAGGCAAAGACTGAGGAGCTATATATTAGTTATATATTGCTATGCAACCATATTACCACAATATCAGTGGCTTAAAGCAACATACATTCATTGCCTCCCAGTTTCAGAATCAGAAGTCTAGGCTGGTTGAGCTGGGCCCTCTGCTCAGGGGTGACTCATAAGGCAATCAAGGTATCAACCAGAGTTGCAGTCTCATCTGAGACTCAAGTGGAGAAGGATGCCCTTCCAAGCTTATTCAGGCTGTTGGCAGAATTCAATGTCTTGTGATTGCAGAACTGAGAAATTCTTTTTCTTGCTGGGTGCTGGCTGAAGGCCTTTACAGCTTATTGGTTGGAGGCCCCTCTCTGCTTTTCAAAGCCACTTTCAGTGCCTTGCCACATGGAGCTCCAAAATGGCCAGTTGCTTCCTCAAAGCCAGCAAGGGAGACAGCCTCCAGCAAGATGGGCAGTATAATATTATAATAACGTAACCAATCACATACACATAGTCACATATATACATACATACCTTTGCCATATTCTGTTTGTTGGAAGTGTAGACAAAAAAAAAAAAAGTTGCCTGCCAGTTCAGTAGGCAACGAACGTTGCTCACCATCAAGCCATTAGCCACTGCAGCCACTCCAGCGGTGTTCTCTGAGGAGAATTCTGGATGGAGAAAAACAGGATACTGGCTCTAAATAGTTAAGATGCATATCAAAGGAGTAACTTCTATGAGCCCAGACTCTTACTTTTCTCATACAAAGAAAAGCACTAGAATCACTAACTTGAGATGTCTGCTTTTTGTGATTAGGAGTAATCTTTTGATATTTGACTACATGGGTTACTTTTTTCCAGCAAAAACTCCTATATGCCCTGGTACCTCCTTTCTCTCTTAGGAATAGTTCCTCAGAGCTATCTGAGAGGCTGTATCCTGGGCTATTGTCCTCAGTAAAGCCACCAAATAAAACATAATTCTCAACTTTTGGGTTGTACTTTTTTTTCAGTCGACAGAAGCAAGTCAAATTTTTGCTCTCATACACGAGGAGGGGATCATACTAGGGTGTGAATACCGGGATGAGGGATCCTGGAGGCCCCCTCAGGAATCCATCTACAATAACACTGTAATAAGGCACACTGACTGGGACATAGCATGTGTTCTGCAGATATTTGTTGGGTCAATTTAAAAAGAAATATGGGCTTTTTCTTAGAGTACTTTGGCAGTACTTTTCCTTATTAGATGTAAATAGGACAGCAATTGATCTTTGAGGAAGGGTTATTTCTTTTAGTGGTCTTTGGAAGTCTTATCATGGTTAATAAGATCACCTTTTACTCTTCGCAGCACTAGGTTTCTGTGAAAGAGCAATTTTCTGAGGACAGCGTTGTAGTAGGTGTTTCACGTTGTTGCACAGTAGGGATCAGGCTAATATTTAAGCTGCATTAATTTAAATCATATCATAATTCTCAATTTCAAAGACAGAGCCAATCTATGAATAATAAGACTGTGTCATCGTGCAATAATTTCAAACAGTACACAGTATTTTCCTCCCCAAATCAAACGTAGGGTTTTTCCACCCAAGTCTCTTGAAGCAGCCAAGAATTCAGTTTGATAT